TCCGGAGCCTGTGCTCCGCGGCGGGAGAGGCCACGGCAGTGAGAGGCCCGCGGACCGCCAAAAAAAAAAAAAAAAAAAAAAAAAATGACTGTGCAAGCTGAAACAGGGCAAAGTAATCTTAATAATCAATGGGAGGATATTACATTTGCTCAACGACCTTTAAAAATTTTTGGTCAAAACACTAAAAACTCTCTTACTGTGGTTTATAAATGTGTAGAGAATTGAAAATTATAGTAAAACTAGTATTTATTTGTTATACCATAATTTAAACATTAGAAACATTGAGAATCCAAGTGTTTTCTTTATTTGTAAAAACCTTATGAAGAGTAGTTTGAATACTGCTTTTCTTCCCCTGGTCGTATACCTTATAACACAGAGCTAGTACCTCTTTTATGACTTGATGAATTGTCAGATTCCTTTCTAAGTTTGGATCTACTTCCAACGTTTTGTCTTTGCCCTTTCTTATGTCATGAAATATCTCTGAGAGTTCCTTTAATGTAGAGTTTTATGCCAGTGTCACTTCCTCTGGGACACTGTCATCCTTTCAGTAACAACCACTTTCCTCATTTATGTCGATAAGTTCGTCTGGCTGTATATCTAGAGTCTCAAATGGCAAACAGCGGCACTGTCAACATCCCATGGTCAGCTATTTCAAATTTCACTTTCAGAATTATCACTTTTCATTTCTTTGCTGGCAATTCTCTCTTTGCATGATCTATTTTTGCAAAATGTTACGTGGTTTATCACTGAGAAACAAAGAGTCAACAGAACTACACACTTTGCTGTCTGAACTGAATAACAGATGTGCCATGACCAATCGCCCACAGACTTTGAAAGAAGTGGTATGATTGGTCACAGATCATGATGCACATTTGTTACTGACATAATGATTTGTGCCCCGAAGAGCTAGCAGAGAAGTTTGCACTTGATGCAATTACTAACTGAAATTCAAATCACTCTACTGGGGGACTGGTGTTATTTAGCTAATCCGTGGTAATTGAAATTTGTGTATATCAGAACCATGCAAAGTGAGGACTGTTGTACACCAATACTGTTGTTTAGGCACTTTAAAACCTGCTATTATACATAAGGTGGGCGGGGGATAAAAGAAATAATTCAACGTCCTGAAAGGAAAGTATTAACCAAGGGAAATATAGGATAGTCGAGATAATAGAGGGTAAAAATGATGAGTGGCTACAAACCCACAGTGCCCCCTGTGCTATGTCCTCTCAGGCAAGATGCCCAGCCTTTGTGTGCCTCTGCAAAATGCAGCATAATAACTGTCAATTGAAAAAAAAAAAAAAAAACAACGTGAGAGTTGCGAGTTAAGTTTTATTTGGGGCAAAATGAGGACTATAGCCCAGGAGACAGAATTTCGGAAAGCTCTGAGAAACTGATTTAAAGAGGTGGGTGGGGGGGAGGTCAGTGATTCTGGTGAAGGGGGAGTACATGCAATCAAGCACATATTTTTTGCAGAAGGTGGCTGCTAGTCTTGTGAAGGTTACTGCTAGTCACGAGCAGGCATCACCATGAAGGGTTTTAGTGCTTCTCTAGATACGAGGAGATGCAAGAATTGGGCTCATAAAATCTTCTCCTGCAAATCTCTATCTGAAGACCTGTTCTGCCAGTTTTTCCCAGAGTACAGAGTGCCTCGTTCCTGATCTCCACCCTGAACTCCTCTCAGGGGGTGTTGAAGGTCAGCAACTGCAGCAGCTCTTGATTTAATCCTTGTAGAGGCAGATGGCAAGTGCCAATTTGTAGTTGGCATAACAATACCTACCTTATAGGGTTGTCATAATAACTGAATCAAAATTAAACAGTTATAGGGTTATCATATGTAAAATGATAGGGTTATCATAGGGTTATAGGGTTATCATATGTAAAAGCCTGAGAACAATACCTAGCACACTGTAAGCACTACAGAAACACTAGCTATGAGAGCAGGAAATAAGAGCAGGAAACCCTAGCAGATGAAGGAAGATGTGGTCTAGAGGAAATTATATCTAAACCAAAACAAAAAACCTGTCCTTAGAGTCAAAAGGAAATATTTAGGGTGTTTTTTTATTTCCTTTTGTCAAGAACTATAGTAAGGGTGATGCAATCTTCCCATTGTATTTGATACAAAATATCACTCTTCTTAGAGAGAAGACTGATTTAAAATTGAAGCTAAAATATCTAATAATGGAGAAGAATACAAACAGGCATCTATATTTTCTTAGAAATAAAATAGATTAAATGACTCCTGGTTTTATAAATCATGGAATTTGTAAAATAATTTGCAGTTATTTACATATTTCCAACAGTGCCCAAATGAGGTCATGGATGAAATTTTTCTTTAAAAATCATTCCCATCAAAGTAATCTACTTGAAATAGGCCACGTTGTTTCCTTTATTAGTGAGCTAAAGATTTCTGCAAGGACAAGATACTTCAGCACTGGATTTTACCTGTATCTGTCTTATCTATCTTGGCTATGATTATAGTGAAACTTTCACTGATACTCACAAAGCAGCCACACTCCCTGTGGCAATTTACAGCCAAACACTACCTGTAAGTTTTGCATCAGAACCCACGTGAAAGCTCCTCCCTCTCAGCTGCAGGATCATCCCACACCTCAAGTTAAGTCCTGATCAACGACCTGAAGAGCAGCATGTCAAAACCTATCACTTGCGCGCTCCTCTGGGTGGCTGAGCCATGGCCTCACTGACAAGGCCTTCTTTACCAAGTCCAGGTCTTCCTTAGGGCTCTGGTTCCGTAAACCAGCAGGGCAACAAGAGTAATATTATCAGTCACATGGGCGTAATTTATGATAGGGTCAGAAAAACCGGACTTTCCGAAAGTTTCTGTGTTTTTACACAGTCACGTGGCAGCACTCAGCTGAATGTCCGAGACGCACCAAGTGTTATAGCTGGAAGGAGCCGTTGCCAACATTGTTATCAGTTAACTGATAACAACACTGATGGCCAGAAAGGTTGCAAAATTATCAGGTTGCCATACTGTAGGTCTAAGAGCATCTCTTCAGTCTCCCAACCCAATGCTCTTTCCTGCTCATCTTATATCTTTGTCTCTCATGGTTGTTTCCTTTTTTGTTTCATTATATACTTAGATACGCATAACTGCAATTTAATTGAATAGATACTACCAAGAGATTGCATATCCATGTGTGACTTAGCATGTGCACCCACCCCAAAATGCTCATTTTTTAATGTTTTCATAATACCCTTACAAGCAAAAAAAAAATTCTTAGCTAAACATAAGAATGCATGGAAATGATCTGAGACCAATGAAACATCATATAAGAGAAGGGTCTTATAAAACATTGCCAACTGCTGAGTGAGCGTGCCCCACAAGCACAGTCAAGGTTGTGAGCTGTTAACATCCCTGCTTTTCTTGCCTCGAGCTGCTTATTATGTGCTGTCTGTGCCATCTGGGTGCATCATAAGTGTGTGGCGATTTTGCAATAAACCTGGTAACTAAAATGTAATCATGAAGCAGAATGACAGTGCAAAAGAATAAGAAATTAAGTCAGAAATAAAATACATTTTAAAATGAAATGTACCCTTACTCTTTCAAGTTGAGAAATTCAAATATATTATTGATATCTGACATTAGTGATTGAACATGAAAAATGAAATAAAGAAAAAAGGTCATTTCCTGAAGAGTTCAACATGTACACATAACACACACACATACATACAGACACACATGTTCACTTGGAGAGCCACCCTGCTAGGCTGGCAGGGCCCTGTGAATGACAGCCTATGAGGGCAGTAGATGATAAGGTCTATCTGTAATTTGCTCTCTTCACCATTCTTTCCCCAGAGTATTTTGTTCTCAGGTTTTCTTTTTTTTTTTTTCTTTTCTTTTTAGCACCAGGCTCACCTTGCCTACCTGGACCTGGTCCCTGATGCACCCTGGAATCTCACATACATGGGGCCAATACCTTACTCAGAAGGACACTTCTGAGTCCCTTCATATTCATTTGTATTCCTCACCATGCTAGGACTCAGGCAAACGATCAGCTGATGACTAGATTCCAAGAGAAAATGTAAAATTTGAATTATTTTAGAAACAGCACCATTTTTCCTTTCAATTTTGTCTATAAAGACACATGTATAACTTAAGGAAGTTCTCGCATGGCCCTGATTTTTTGGTCAGAATGATCAATCGAATATATAAAATATTTCTAATGTGAAAATATCTCCACTTTATTAGATGCCTATAGTATTAGACATCTAAGATTCCTAGACTATACTGAAAACCTGAATGCAGGCAAGTATCTGACAAAGATATTGGAAGTAAAATTGGATTGGGGGATCAGGCATCTAAAAATATATCTGTCTTGCAGTTGGTTTCCTCATCTGTAGAGATATGGCATTGGGTTGGAAATTTTTTTATTAATACACAATGGGTGCTTTATCTCCTTCATTGGCCATGGAAATGTTAGCCTAGCTCCTTTTTCTCATCCTCTTTAAAACACAAGTGAAGAATGTTGACTTGAATTATCCAGGTAACTGTCTAGATCTGAAATATAGAGTTAGCAAACACACCCTAAGATGTCTTCTCGCTCCGAGAGTGAATGGCTGAGTATAGAGCATGGATGATGAAATATAGAGACACACTCCCAAAAGTCAAAATAATGCTCACTGTAAAAGGCCGACTGAATTGTTTCATTAAAAAAATGCACTATAAGGAATTTCATCTTAAAACTAAATAATAATGGTACAATTATATTTTTCTCCCAAGGAGGAAAGGAAGGATAGAAGGAAGGGCTGAAAGAAAGGGGGAAGGAAGATAGGAAGAAAGCAGTGAAGGAAGGAAGTCAGGCAGAAGGAAGGAAGGAAATATGTAATTGTCATTAAACTCTTTTCCCTCAGAGGAAAGATTAATGTAATGGTTGATAATGCCCCAATCGAAGGGAAAGTTTCTCTTTCTACTATCAAAACATGCAACATAGAATCTTTGTTTTTCTTCACTTATCAAAAGAGATATAGTTTACTACCTTCAAAGTCCACGTCTCCAACTAATTTTGTCTTTCCTGTCATTGGGTCATGGACATAGTTGATACCCACATCAATTACAGCAGCACCTTCTTTAACCATATCAGATGTAATCAACTTTGGAATACCTGAAAGCAAAACAGAGTTGTAAAACACTGGAAAATACTTAAGCTTTGTCCTTGAGTATAACAAAGTTTATATATTAGTTTATACATCTAATGTTTTTATTGTCATGGAAAGGTAGCACATGGGGGCATCTCTGGGTGAAATCCTGCCAGGATTTACCCTTTCACCTTAGAGATTGCTTACCAAAGCAATTTCTTACCAAAGCATTTCTCCAAATGGACACCCACTTGAGCAGCATCCTTTTGTATTTCACGTACTATAAATAGCATGGGAAGATTATGGAGATAAAACAGGCTCCTGCTGAGGGTGAGTGGAGTGAAAACAACTTGGAAGATGGAGGTGGAGAGAAGGAAGAGAGGGAGGGAGGAAGGCTAAAAAGAAAAAAAGTGAAAATGGTAATAATTCATATTCCTCAGGGTTGTGGTAAACTGTAAAGTGCTGAATACGAAGTATTATCTCATCCACTCCAAACATGAAAGGCTATCTTGAGCTTTATATTTTTCTTGGTTTCTTTGATTCATTATGTCTGTATATGACTTGGAATGGTGTAAGAAACAGTTAGTTCTACTCACTATTTCTCCATTCAAGTTTGAAAGATAGCTCTACAGAGATGTTATGTCACCATCTATATTTTATAACTCTTTTCAAATTTTATTTCAGGCACAACAGTACCAGCTAACAATGGCTCGTGTCCCAATTTTTTTGTTATAAATTAACAAACCATTCCCAAACTTAGTGTCTTAAAACAACAACTAATTATTCTGTTCCACAGTTGTGTGAGTTGACTGAGCTCAGCTGGATGGATCTTCTTGGGGATCTTTCATATAAATGGAGTCAGATAGTGGCTGCGGCTGAAGTCATCTAAAGCTGTGATGCAGCTGGTTGTCCGAGGTGGCGCACTCACAGGGCTACAGCTGATGCTCATGGTGGCTGAGCTCAGCTGGGGCTGTCCAGTGGAGCACGTGGGTGTGGCCTCTCCATGCAGCTTGGGCTTCTCACAACCTGGCAGCTGGCTTCCAAGAGTGAGTGTTCCAAGTGATAGGATATAGAAGGCGCCCGTCACTTAAGACTGGAACCTGGAAACTGGCACAGTGTCACTTCTGTCATATTCTATTGGGCAGGCAGTGACAGAATCCACTTAGGTTTATTTATTTTTTATTTATTTATTTTTAATCATTTATAACTTTATTTATTTATTTATTTTTTTAACATCTTTATTGGGGTATAATTGCTTTACAATGGTGTGTTAGTTTCTGCTTTAGAACAGAGTGAGTCAGTTATACATATACATATGTTCCCGTTCCACTTAGATTTAAAAGGAGGGATGGAGATGCCATTTCTCAGTGGGAGGAGAATCAAAGAATTTGAGTGTCCATCTTTACTCCACCAGAATATGCCGCTGGTGGACACTGTGTCTGGTGGGTGATTTACTCACTTTCACTTGCTACATCCCTTTCTGGAAAAGGGTTACCTGTTGTTGTGTTGGCAGACGCTTTCTTCTAGCATCTGAATACTCATTTAAGCATTCCAGATGGTTTAAATGTCACCTTGTGGCATATGATTTTTACTGCTAGTAAGAATTGAAAGGCTATAAAGAAACAGTGCCAAAATAGTTGTAGCTAGCTGATAGGTTCCTCAGCCACATAATGATACAATCATTATGATACAACCAAGAAGGCATCAGTGTTTGAGGTACATTTTTTCTCTTGCTTTCCTATCCTATCCCATAGAACTTCTTCCTTTTTACCATCGATATGGAGTATTGCTCTAAAGATAGTCATAAAATCCTGTTTCTTCTTGGCATTCAATAGAAAAAAGAAACCATAATTGATTATGACTGCAGGAAATATTTTTAAGATCAAAATGTTGATGAAATAGTTATTAAAATCCAGCTGCTATGCTTTTGAGAAAGATCCAAATCTCCCTCCTAATTAGAATTGTTCAATACAATATCTCAGAAAATATCAACTGGGAATGGTCAAGTGCACAATTTTCATAAAAGAGGGGAATGTGAGCTTGATTTTGATTCCCAGGAAAATTACAAAATGGAAAAAACCTGAATGCATTTTTTTCTGATGATGATGATGTTACATGTGTCCATTGCAGAAAATCTGAAAAACATTTAAAAGTTTAAGAGTAAAACAAAAATCATAATCTTGCCATCCAAAGACAAGAAGTATATTTTTATTGTATTTCTTTCTAGGATTTCAAAATACTTCTACATTAGATATAAAAGCCTGTAATTTTTTTGCACCATGCTTCATTGTATATCTTACCACTTTGCATTAAAATTAAATTGTGAACTTTTTCCTATTTTATCATTTGAAATTTAAAAACTACATGAAATAATTTATTATATGAATTACCATAAGTCATTCATTCCTGCACACTC